GGAAGCTCCGTTTGTGCTGGGGGAGGTGCTGAGCATAGCTGCAGACGCCTCGCCGGTGCACGTCAACATCCACTGGTATGGGCCTATCAACAATACGGTTAGGGCGGGAGCGGGCACCGCGGCTGTCGAGGACTATGCCGTGGCGCGTTTCAGCAAGGATTTTATCCTAACGAGCGGCGCGAAGCGCAGAACGCACGATGCCAGCGACGAGTCTATCACACGCATTATCGCATGCTGCATTCGCTAACTTCAACGGGTAACATCCCGGCGAGAATTAAAAAAGTGCTGATGGAGACTTGCCGGTCTGCACCTTCGTCGTCCTCGGAGAGCGAAGCAAGTGACTCGGACGACGACGGGTCTGGAAGCGGACTCTGAGGAAGACGAGTCCGATGACGAAGGCTATGGTTCAGAGTAGTCCTGGCGCCTAGCAGGGACTAGATTGATGTCGAGACCGGGACGTTCTAGGGATCAAGAAGATTTGTACGTTTTGCGCCGTAAGATGGTCAACATTTGTCAACTTCGAGCTCTGTACCCAAGTCTTGTCGTAGGGGCTGTGGGTCTTTCCATCATAGTAACATAACTTTCGAAATGCCGTGTGCTCAGATTTTTATTTTTTGCTAGTGCGTCAGGGAAACACGCGGAAGAACTCGTAAGAAATCTGTGTCTGCCCGGGGGAGAGGGGGGGTGGGGGTGTTGAACCAGGTGCGGTTTGGGGTCCTTGGCGGCGGAACTATCGTGATTTTCGGCGTTGCCGATGGTGTTAGCTCGGGCGAAAGGGCGTGTGTTCGATTTGGAAGACGCCCGAGGATGTTTTTCGTTGGAGCGAAAATACATTATTTGGCACTTTTGGTGCGCCAACCTGCCCAACATTTCTCATTAAATTGTTTTACTCAATAAGTATAATCCACTGTTAGATGGAGCCTTCTGCGACATAAAAAACGAGTCGCAACGAGCCGAATTCATTAGAAAATGCGATCTCATTATCTTCGATGAGCTCCCAATGACCCACCGCTACTGCATCGAAGCTCTCGAGCGAACCTTGCGAGATATCAGACGTTCACACGCCTTATATGGTGGGGTCACAATCTGCTTTTCAGGCGACTGGCGACAGTGCGGTCCTGTCGTGCCTTTTGGCTCCGCCGCTGACATTGTCGAGGCTTCCTTCATTTCCAGCAACCTACGGCAAAAAACAAACCGTTTGCGTCTAACAATATCCCAGCGAGACAAAAAAGACCCTGCGTATGCTTCTTTCGTCCGCTCAATCGGCGAAGACAAACAACCCACAACCACCTTCGACGACGGCACAAAACTCGTGCCCCTTTCAAACACCAATGACACCTCCGCACTTCTCTTTACAGTATACCACCAATTTCGACGATTTGGTCAACTTCGTGTACCCCTACATCCACGAAGACTCACGTAACCTCAATGATCGCGCCATTCTGGCAACCACCAACAATTCCATCGACTCTTGCAACGACGACATATCTTCCAGACGCCACGGCGATAACGTAGCCTTATACAGTTCTGATACCCTCATCAAAGATCATAACAATCCTGCGTCTTCCACTGCCTTCTGCTTTACTGAAAATTGTAACATTATTGACGTCCGAGGCGTTCCTCCTCATGAACTACGTTTAAAATCAAATTCTCTAGCTATGCTAATCAGAAATTTGAACTTTTCTGAAGGTCTCGTCAACGGACAGAAGGTTGTCGTTCGTGGGGTGTCGCCAAATTCTCGCGTTATCCAAGTAGAGCTATTAGGTCACGACAAGTCCATCGTCCTCTTTCCTCGCATTTCATTCAACGATCAAGTAGAGAGAAACGGTATCACATTCAACCGTATCCAATTCCCGTTATGAATTGCGTATTCTCTAACTATCAACAACAGCCAGGGTCAAACTTTATCTGGATTTGGTCGTGACTGACGCTCTGGCTGTTTCTCTCACGGTCAACTCAATGTTGCCCTGAGTAGAGCACGAAATCGGAACTCTGTGATGATCCTCCTGCCTCCTGATCATGTCATGAACTCCACCCCACACGTTCAAAATTGTGTATACCCTCCTTTCACATAAGCTGCCACCGGTCAACCATCCTCCTTACCCCCACCTCCGCCCAACATCCCGCCTAACAATCCCGGTTCATCCAATGATTCACCTCACATTCCTCCTCCCCCGCAACACACATGGTCTAGAATCAACGAAATTGACGACGGTGCGTGCGGCTTTCGTGCTATTTCTAGGCGAGTGTATAACGACCCCGGAAAACACGCCCAAGTCCGCTCTGAAGTTGTTCAATACATTACATGCATCTCAACCGCAACGAACCCCAATTTCAGAATTCCATAATTGCAGGGATACATTCAGAGTACCTTCAAATTCTCGGACAATCTCCTCAACAGTAGACTTCTCATCTTATGACAGTTACCTTCAGATTATGTCCCATCCTAGAGCATACTACCTCGGCGAACCAGAAATGTTTGCTGCCGAACGCAGGTATAACATTCCAATCCATACTTTCTTTTCGCTCGATGCTCTTCCCGATCCCACCCATGCCGATCAATCTGCTATTTATCTTCTCTACGACGTATCATCTCAACACTACTCTTCCTGCCTACTAACTCCTTCTCTTCCTCAACTTCCTTCATCACAGCAGGTCTAACACCAACAATGGCCAACGACTACCAACGTTTACCACCTACAACTAGCGGCAGTGGTGTCGACTGATCCAAGGCGTTCGAAGACGCCGTCATTCCATGTGGGGAGGCGGCGAGAAAGCGGACAATTTTGACGCAAAAACCCCCGCGGGGTCGTGCAAGGACGGCTTCACGACAGTCTGCGAGGTCCAACCCGACCGTCTCTGCCCCCTGGACGACAAGCCCGAGCTAAAGCGACACCTGAAGACGGTTCGCGCCTTCATCTGCTGCTCCGGCTTCGTCAGTCATCCTCTCATCATATTGCTGGTTCACCAGTAGTGCAATTTCGTCCGTAACGGAGGTTCGCTTCGTGTCGTACGCTTTGATACTTCGTTCAAGTTGCCAAAAGTTGCTTTTCGTTTGCCGCCGTAAGGTTTGTTTGCAAAGGCTGCGGGAGTCTGCTTGGCATACCTTTTGCCTTCGGGTGTCACCCTACATGACTTTGTCATTTTCTTGCGCGAGTCGTACAACTCCTTGTCCTGATCTAACCCTTCACAACGCGGGTTTTTATTCCTTCACTTTCGTGTCCCACCGACCACCGATTTGTGCTACAATATGTATGTTACCTTCAATACTTTTCCTACTAAACAGCAAGTCGCGGACAGGAGTTGTTGTGCTGCGAGTTGTGCAATTTCCTTTGTCTGCCAGCGTCCGGTACATCCGCTTCGTGTCATTCTCTTTCTTTCGTACTTCGTTCAAGTTGCCAACAGTTGCTTTTCGTTTGCCGCCGTGAGATTTGTTTGCAAAGGTTGCGGGAGTCTGCATGGAGTACCTTTTCAATACCGTTCCTTCCAACAAGTCTGTTGCAAGCTTGCAAGAGGGCTTGCAAGCATTCCGTTTCTCACCACGTGTCGTTTCTAATCATAACGTTGAACACACCAATTTTTTCGCTGCCACTCTACATCATCAATCTACCAACGATTACAAGCCTTCCTCATCTGCTACATCCTCGCCACCCTTCTACTTTCGCCATCACTACCTCACAACATCATCATCCACCTCAATTTTTTGCCCATTGGTTGTCCACAATAATAAATAAATAATCACTTGACATCGCATTCGGGGACTTCAGCGGAGCGGTGGGCCCTCAAGGCCCGCCGCGGAGCCGGTTGAGGTATTATGACTATATAGTGACGTAGTGCCACAGCAGCCCGCCGGTGGGTATTGTGCCGATCAAATCTCAGGACACATGATGATGATGAGTGTCTACACTATATCCACCGCCGCCTCCGTGTGTATGTTTATCCTTCCATCCCTGTTCGAAGAGTGCCGGTGGCCCGGTATAGTGCCGTTACAACCTCTGGACACAACATACCAGCACTAGACAGGGCCCGCTATAGTAATACTGCATGCATGCATTACACACATCGTGTCAAAATAATAAGTATTGCATGTAACAGCATATTGGTGAAATTGAGAGCGAAGCATCTGATTGAGAGCGAGATTGCGCGATGCGCTGCAGCTGGACTACTGCTGAGAGGTGGAGCTTGCTGTGAAGCTTAAACTGAGCCCGCTCGTAGCTACAAGCAGATACCCTGGTCATCCTGTGGGAGTCTCTCGTTGTGGAGTTACAGCGGCGAGCAGAAGCTACAGCAGAGCCCACCGCCCGAGGCCAAACCGCCCTGCAACAGTTTGAGGCAGGAAAAGCCAATCTGGGGAAATCTAGCAACTTGTCCAGCTCCTAGCTGCAGCATCGGAAATCCGATGACGATGACACGCATATGCTCGTGACGCTGCTGATGAGACAAGTTGCAATACGGTGTTGTTGTTGTTGTTGTTGTTGTTGTTGTTGTTGTTGTCTTCACATTAAAAACCGTTCCGATCTCTCTCTACCCAGTACCTTCGTATGTCCGTACGGTGCAGTCCGGCGTTGTTGGCGGGAAAGCATGGACCAGTATATATAGCAGTACTGGGTCATGTACATTATTTGAACAATATATGCGAATTATCATAGGAATTTTAATGCGACCCCATGGGACCTCATGGGACCTCACGAGACTTCTCACGCGAAATCTAATGGGGTTAGAGTTAGACGTCTCATGGTGTCCCATAAGACTTCTCATGAGAACTCCTGAGACACCTTGCGAGAATTCTCATGGGGTCTAAAAAGACGTTTCATGGGACCCCTTGAGAATTTTCGTGAGAAAAGTCTCATGAGAGCTCATACTAGAGTTGGAGGTGGAATAGTTTTTGTGGTGGTTGCACAAAAGTACCTGCAGTAGGCTCGTGCGTCTGTTACAGAAGAACGGGGGGCGGTCCATCATCACCAGCTAGAGAGGGGGGTGGTATCCATCATCATTCGCTAGAGGGGGGGGGGTTGTCCATCATCAGCTAGCGAGGGGGGTGCTATCCATCGTCAGCCGTGAGGGGGGGGTGCTATCATCAGAGGGGGGAGAGTGTCATCCATCGTCATCAGCTAGAGAGGAAAAAATAACCGTTGAAAAATTCCCCGGCTTGTGCTGCTGCTGCTGCTGCTGATTGTTTAAACAGGACGCTTCCGCCACCGCTTTAGATAACAGCAACAGCAGCAGCAGCAGAGGCGACACACCCTCTCGCCCACAATGAGTGTAGAGAGGTGCACAGCACAGCAGTGGTACTACATCGTCTAGGAACGAGCGTGATGTGTTACTGGTCCCGTGCTGTGATGTATGTGTGCCTCTCTCCAGAGCAGAGTCAGAGGCCGCTCCCTCCCGCCGCGTCGCAACACAATAAGAACAACCAACCGATGGACCCACAGAGACCCAATCAATATCTCTCCTCTCGCTTCCTCCGCCGAAAGCTAGCAGCAGCAGTAGTATAGGGCACACCCTGCTCCCGTCCCGCTCTCGCTGTGTGGTGTGTGCAACACACGCTGGTTGGTGGGACTCCCTCTCTCTCCAGAGAAAAAAAGGCGAAAAAATGGCCGGCAGCGTTGTTGAAGAAGAACAAACAACCAACGGAAACAACAACAACAACATCATCAGCGATGAACCCCAGACCGACCAAACGTTCCCCGCTTCCTCCGCCGTCGCTAACAGCAGTATGTGTGTGTGTCCCGCCCCCCTTGTCCATGTTCCCTGTCTCTGTGTAGTGCGTGTCTTGCCAGTAGCAGCAGCAATGTGTGCAGCACGGCAGTGCGTCGTGGTTGCTTGCGTGCGTGTAGTTTGTTGCCAAAAATAAAATAAAATGACGCCTCCCGGGGATGCATCCATGTGACATATACCTTTGCACAAACGGTGTGCTATCTCGAGACACCGACCACGGATTGCAAAGGTAGCGGTTGGGACAGCTCGGGCAAAAT